GTCAGCTTTCAGAGACTGGGTCCAGGGTTTGGCATTTCAGGCTGCTATCCACACAGGCTGCAGAGTAATCTCTGGAAAGCACAAGCAAAATGTTTGCCCATCATTATGAGGGGATCAGGCCCCTTCCATTGTTGGGTGGTTGGGTCCCTCCATCAAACCAGAGGCAATTGGGTTGCACCTGTGAAAGGTCTCCAGTGTCTCACTGCTGGTGGCTCTCCAGGGGGTGAGACCTGTAAGAACTTTACGGTGAAAGGAGCAAAGTTAATACACTCATAGTGGGGGTACCGTACTCTCCCCTCTGTTTTTTAATCATAGTCTTAAGGTCCTGCATGTGAAATTAGTGCACAGTGACTCCTATGGTTAATTTAACAATTCACACTCTTTTGTGTGCTGTCAGTGATCACCCAAGGCTCTTGACATGAGCTGTCTAGGCTATGGAAGCCTTCTGAATCCACAAACTCCATCAATATTTAGAGAAGGCTGTAAGCAAAGTGACAGTTCTCCCTTTGAAGAGAGTACATCCTTCTTTGATGACCACTTCTTTCCACAGGAGTCTCACCCAGGGAGACTCTCCATGTAGGCACACCTTTTTGCACAAGTGTCCTGACTTTCCATGCCTGAAATGCTCTTGTGGGCTTTTTAGCCAGACCAGAATGCCTTTAGGGATGACTCTGAGGTCATTGAGCGTTACTAAGAGCAATTGCCATTCTATGAGTCTGCTGTATGGACTGCTTCCCATGTTCAAGCATTTACTACTCTAATTCTATTAATTCTATTGATGTGATCACTTTAACAATTAGTGCCTCCTATATGACCAATCTAAAACTTAATGGAATCAAATACAGTCACTTTTAGACTTAATCATATGTATATATATATATATATATATATATGTTAAAACTTAAAATGTCACTTTCACCATCTAGCCCAAGGGGATTTGGGATCCCATGGTGAAGTAAATCCAGCTGCGAAATTATGATTTAAGCTCTCATTTTGGCTATGTTGTTACACAGAATATGTTAGTCACTCCTTTCATAAGATCTAAAAATCAAACTACATCTTGAGAAATCCCTCAGGACAGAGTCAGTGTCCCATCTTAAAGAGAATAGAGAAATGTGGGAGCAAGTCAGGCTTGCCAGAATGCCCACTGACAATGTCAAATGGACTCTTAGCAAGTGGTTTTAACCATTAAATAATAGCTTATAAAATATTTACTGTAGGTCCAATGCCTTCTATAAATATTAAGAATACATGTATTTAAATATATCTTAAATATCTAACATGATGTGGCTTGTTTAAACAGCAAACAGAAACATAAAACATTTTTTAGTTTCTTTCTATTGACAAATTTAAAACATCTGACAAAGAGATTCAGGTCACATGAATCAAATGTATCTTCAATTAATTTTAACTATTAAATTTATGAGCAATCTTTCCTTTATAAACCAATTAAGACAGAGCTCAAAATAAATTTTCCCATGTAGACATACAATATGAACACACACATAACACAACATACAAGGTAGAACAATAAAGAAGTTTTAGTAATAGTTTCCTAAAATCTTTAGCTTTTTTTTTATTACCAACCAATTAAAATTACTTTCTGTTCTTGGTCAACTTGATTAACCATACTTTCTTCCCGTAGGAACCTGTAGTGCATTATTCAATTCATCTGTTTACAGAACAATTCAAAACCACTGAATTCAATAGAAGTGGCTGGGAAAAAATCCATCAGAACCTCTAGGAGGGCAGCTAAACACAGAACCAACAATGTTTTAGTTTAGAGCAGCAAATCTGATATACAAAACTGTGGATGAGAAAAAACTTTAAATAGCTATGTTAAACATGATAAACTCATTAACCAATAAGAGGCATTTGCTTACTTTACACAGTATTTTCAAAAGTACCTGTAGGATTTTACAAAACATTTAATTCTTTTAGGCCTCTGGGCCTTTCTCATTAAGATAACCATCATGTCTAGTAACACAAGATCATTAGACTTTTTAACTTTCAGACATTTGTATCAGTGGCATTTTATATTATCAAAACTTAAAATTTAGCATGACTTCACATTTTAACAATACCTGTAATATAACCTAAATAGCCTCATTGATTAGCTGGTGTCTCTTCAAGATGAGAGACATATATCCTTTGACATTTCCAGAAACCTAACTGGAAATATCAAAGTCCAAATTATTTGGAACTTTGATTTTTTTGAATGCCTGTGAAAGATGACAAGAAGTCTTAAAATATCTGGTTAAAATAAGATCCTTAACATCATGACAAAGTATAGACCAGATTTGATCAAATCATAACTCCTTTAAAACGTTGTTTTAAACAATTAGAACTTAAGAGGCATTAAGAGAACATAATAGATTACTTTAAAATAACAGAAAATCTGTCTCTTTGGTTGTTCAAAAGTCAGAAATAAAACCTTAAATTTAAGACCTGGTGCATTGAATCAAATCCCATAATTTGGAACAGTTTTAAGAGTCAGAACTAGGGAAAAAAGAATAGCACCCACATGGGAGACCAGGAGGAAGCACCTGGCTCCTGGTTTCAGATCAGCACAGCATGCTGGCTGCAGCACGCCAGCCATAGTGGCCATTTGGGGGGTGAACCAATGGAAGGAAGACTTTCTCTGTCTCTCTCTCTCTCTCACTGCCTAACTCTGCCTGTCAAAAAAAAAAAGAAAGAAATCAACAAATGACAAAACTGATGAGGATGTGGAAAAAAGTTACCCTGGTCCACTGTTGGTGGGAATGTAAACTGGCACAAGCCACTGTGGAAGACCGTATGGAGATATCTTACAAATCTGATTATAGACCTACCATTTGATCCAGCCATCCCACTCCTTGGAATTTACCCAAACCAAAAGAAATTAGAATATGCAAGAGTTATCTATAACCCCATGTTCATTGCAGCACAATTCACAATAGCTGAGATCTGGGAACAATCCAGATATCAATCAATTGTTGACTCAATAAGAAAATTATGGTATATACACACTATGGCGTACTACTCAGTTATTAAAAAAAAAAAAGGAAAGAAAAAGAAACCCTGTCTTTTGCAACAAGATAGAGGAAACTGGAAACCATTATACTTAGTAAAATAAATGAGTCTCCAAAAGACAGATATCATGTTTTCCCTGATCTGAGGTAGCTAATAGAGTACCTAAAATGTAATGTATTGGAGTTAGATACACATTTTGAGATTTGATGATTGTTTAGAGCTCTTGTCTCTTCCATTGAGGAACAGTGATTTTTTTTTTTTTTTTGCTTCATACTATTTGCTGACTTGTTGAACTCTTACTTAGTGTAGGGTTAACTATACAATCATTAAGTAAACTGAAAACAGATTTTGTAAAAGTTAAGTGGGAATGTGAGAGGTAAGAAGAGAAAGGGTTGGACTGTGTGTGGGAGGGAGGGTATCAGGGGAAGTGTCACTTACATTCATTAGTCTGTATATATGAAATATATCAAACTTATCTTAAATAAAATTTTAAAAGTAAATATTTAAAATTCAAAAAATTTATACCAATAACAAGGAGAATTTTAAAGGTGTTTATATATAATATATATGTGTGTGTTTAATTTATGACATTACAATATAAATGTACATATATATATAATTTGTAATATAAATATATAGAGAGCAACGTTTTGAAATTTTTATAATGTATTTATCATCAGAAAAGAATAGCTCAGCTTTCTGTAATAATCCAGTTTCTGATCATTACAAGAATGAAGAGTAAGCCACCAAGTTGTAGCTCATAATCTCTGTTTCTCTGTGTCTCCAAGTCTACCAACCTCTAAAATTAAATAAACATACATAATTCTGGGATAGAAATCACATTAAGATCCCACTATTTTCCCGCATAATTTTCAGAAAATATACTAGTATCTAAACACACAGTGGCAAATTTATCTATGTATAAAATATATGTATATTATATATGTTACATATATTCATATATATATATATATCATTGAGGAGGAAGAATTATTACCCTTGGCTAAAATGGCCCTGAGACACTGTGTACCTGACAGTTTCCAGGGCAACTTACAGAATGTTGGGGGTGATGATGATCTTACAATAAAAGTGAAATCACCATGGCCACAGAGTCACAGAGCTAGGATTGGCCTAGAATAAAATATTTGTGCAAAAGAGTGACTACAGTGAATTTAAAATTTTACTTAAATTTTCATTATTAAAGGTTAATTTCAAGTTCCATGAATGTCTGTAAGGCGAAGAATGAAATCTCCTGCTAATGAGTGATGGAACTGGCCTTAAATTGTTCTCATATACTGTGAAAATAAAATTTGTACATCTTCCAGAATTTGATGGCCTTACAATGTTAAAGTAAGTCATGGTAGACTGAAGTTCCCTGTACTAGAATTGGCACAAATTAGGTTATTATTTATTGAGATGGTAATGATAAATGTGAATCAACATGAAAAATAGAGAAATGTATTCAATATATTGACAGTTGTGTGTACAAATGGTAAATTTAGTAGAAGCAGGAATAAGGTTACAAGGAGATGTAACAGATATTAATAAAAATAGCCCTAAATACACATTTAAATACAGAAAATTTGTGCTCTCTTAAATCAAAGAAAGCTTATGCCATTGAATTCAGTAATTTTAAAACCAAGATAAAATTGTCTCGATCCAATGCATGGAAATTTTAAAGAGAATGACAATTTTGATTCTCAAAATATAAGGAAGCTATAAAAAAGTGTCATTGAAAGTGTAAAGGAATGTAATGTTCTAAAATTATTTGATAGGCCATAAAGATGGAGGTTGCTAAGACAACTTGAACATTATTTAGTGCATTCATGATATGAAAATATAAGTGCCCAAGAGAATCATCATTCCTTGGCAGTGCTAAGATTGCTTTCCATGTGGATATTGACATACTCAGATGAAATTAATAAAATGAAAGACAAAATAAAAAATAGAAACCTGATGCACATGGAAATTAAAACTTTGCCTTGCCATTAGTAACAATGTATATTTTAATGTGAGCCATAACTAAAAAATATGTGGATGAATATTTGGTGAAAAAACAGTCCGGAATAAACTGGAAAAATTACAGTATGATACAGACTTGCAGTTTGGAAAATTTCCACAATCAGAAAATAATTTACAGTTCCAGGAGCATCTAGAAACATTAAGAATGTATCCTATGCTGATGACCATGATGGTGCTGGCACTGCAATGTACTCAAATCCTATACACATGACAGTTGCTTGGACAACTTCCAGCATTTAGAATGAGTTGATGACCACACAATTATAAATTAAACCATGGTACCCATCATTTCCCTGTTAGGAATGTCACAAATTGGGTTATTCATTACACATGCAGGTGATAGTAGTAAATGACAAAATAAATATGCATTCCATGGAAGACATTTAATTTTGATTATATGGTGTATAAATTAGTAATTTGGAAGAAACAGAGTCATAATCATATAGAGATGGGCTAATAATGGGATGGTGGAGTAGGGAGGGAGCTTACTGCTCTAGCCCAGGAGAAGATAGTTTTAAAAAAGTGGAAATAGAGTAGTCTCAGGGAAGAGTTAGGGAAAAAATGACAGAGGAAATTCTACTGACATGAGAGGGACATGGTGGACCCACATGGAGGGCATGGTGCCCACGGCTCATGACTCCAACAGCTGAGAGTCTATGCACTAGAACTGGAAAGTGAGGTGAGACAAGACCACAGTAGCCTGAGCCACCAGCAAAAATGTGGCAGGAACCTAGAGGGAATGAGGCTTATATATCTGAGGGAAAGTGTGCCAGCCAAACTAGAGGAGAGGAAAAAAAGGGACAGTACAGACATGTTTCTCTCTCTCCAATCACCTCACAAAGGCATGCAAGCTGATAGAGCAGGAGCCATTTTGGTCATACATAACATCTGTGCCAGCTTGTGTCTACACCAGGCAAGCAGCCAAGTGGAGACTCCTGATGCTGGTAGGGAAAAATAACAGGAAACTAGGAACTTGTGACTGTGTGAAACTTCTGAAGCAGGACTGTGAAAAAATAAAAAACTGAGGGTGTGTAGGAAGATTTGTGGTGTGACTGGGACTTTGAGCACTCTCACTGGGAGAGGCCACAAGCTTGGGAGTTCCTGGTTACCTTATGAGAGACATTTCTGGAGAATCTGAATTTATACTGAGGACTACACAGATCCTTTATGTGGTTCTTTGGACAGAGCGGACAAATATTATACCTGCTGTGAGTCTAATTGGAGATCCTCTGAGAGTAATCTGATGTTTCTCTTATGCATTTTAGAATCTTCTCTTTTTGTTTCACTGTGGCAGTTTGATTACAATGTGTCATGGCAAGGTTGTTTTCTGATCATGTCTATTCAAAGTTCTGTTTGCTTCCTGTACTTGGATGTCTCTTTCTTTTCCCAAACCCAGAAAGTTTTCTGCTAGTATTTCACTAAAAATGCCTTCTAATCCTTTGTCTCTCACCATGCCTGCAGGAACTCCTAGAACCAGAATGTTGGTCTTATTTTTTTTTATATAGTATCCTATAGATTCCCAACAGTCTTTTTTAGATTTCTAATCTCCTGTTCTTGTGTTTGGTTTGACTGTATACTTTTCTGTACTCTGTCTACTAAGTCTGGTATTCTCTCTTCTGCCTCACTGATTCTGTTTTTAAGGCTCTCCACTGCATTTTTTATTTGTTGTAGTGAATTCTTCATTTCATTTTGATTTCTTTTTAATATCTCAGTTTCATGTTCTGTTGAATTCATTTCATCTTGATTCCTCCTGATAATTTTTATTTCATGGGAGAGATTTTCTTTCATGTCCTTAATGGATTTCAGTAGTTTGTGCCTTTGCTTTTGCTTACTTCTATAAAATCTTATGACCAAATTTTTGAGTTCTATTTCTTGCATTTCTTCTCTCATCATCTTCATGACCTAGTATTGGAATGTCATGTTCTTTTGGGAGCATGATGATGTTTTCCTTATTCTTGCTTCTTGGATTCTTGCATTTGGCATTTGTGGAAATACTCTTTTTTTTCTGGCGGTTTTTATCATTGTATTATGACTGTAGATAAATGGACTTTCTGCTTTCACTGAATCTCTAGAGGCTTGTAGTGGGTGTGGCCAGAGAGCTCTGTTCAGTTTTCAAGGGTAAAGGGTATGCCTAAGGGGACACACACAGGTTTGGCATGGTAAATCTTTTTTTAATCAGAAGGGAATTATATTCTGTTCAGCTGAGTTCTTCTCTTCAATGGAAACCAGTGCCTGAGTACTAAATCAAGTGGGTATAATATTCACTATGTCCCAAGGACCACATAAGGATCTGTGCTCTCAATGTGGGACCTCTGTTCTTAGTGAGAATTAACAGTAAATCTAGTCTTCAAACACCTGTTTAGCTGGGAGCCTAGGAAAAAGTGCTCAGGCAAGTAATATTGTGAAAAACTAGTTCTAAGTAATATGAAAGATAACCCAGAGAAAACAGCAGTCCAGCAAATCATTCAACCTCACTGAAACTACCAGCAGCTACATCATTCATTTTCTATTAAATCTATTTATAATAAGATTTAATTTGATGAACACTTGCAAGAAGCTGTGGGGACTTAAACAGGGATGAAGAGCTATTTCTTATGGGTAGTAATGGAGGTGGAATGGATTAGTTGCACAGCTATTATCTAGATGGGAAATAAAAGAGTTACTGAAGCTAGATGCATCATAGCATTTGTAGCCCTGTTATCATGGGATAGCCAAGCAACCTAGGAAAAGTGTTCCTCCTGAGGGTATCCTGAGGCACTAACTGAATGTAAATCAGATTTATATTAATCCAGAAAGGACTTTGTAAATTGGAAGGAATAAAAGTACACATTTTCAATAAAAATGAGGGCCACCTGCAGGAGCAGGGAATAATGCAACAAAAAAAGGTTGTAAAAAATTACAAGTTAAATTAATACAAAAATGTACTACAGGGGCCAGCACTGTGTCACAGCAGGTTAATGTCCTGATCTGAAGTGCTGGCATCCCATATGGGTGCTGGTTTGAGACCTGGCTGCTCCACTTCCAATCTAACTCTCTGCTATGGCCTGAGAAATAGTAGAAGGCCCAAGTGCTTGGGTCCCTGCACCTACATGGGAGATCTGGAGGAAGCTCCTGGTTTTGGATCAGCACAGTTCTGGCCATTGTGGCCAATTGGGGAGTGAACCATTGGATGGAAAATTCTCTCTCTCTGCTTCTGCTCTTTTTATGTAACTCTTTCAAATAAATAAATCTTTTTTTAAAAAAAAATACTACATTTATGCTCCTGCTTCTCTATTGCAATGGGTACCACATGGATAGACTTCATTCCATGTTCTTGTCTCGTCTCAAGGCAATTAGGAATAGAATGAAAAAGAGTAGAAAAGTGGCATCATGAATGAAAAAGGTATTATGCACTCAGTAATACAGGAAAATTCAGATGAGTGTTGCAACTTATAGGGTTTCAGGTTGTCCCTTTAAAGAATGAGAGTAATGTATGTGGCAACATCTACTTGCATATTCAAATAGACCTTGGGTAGTGGAGTCTAATCCAGATGTGCACACAGATAAGTTGAAATTTCTCATGGGTATATAGGTCACCACACACTCATTCCCTTGTGTTGCACACAACACTTATTATCCAGGGCCAGGGTACACTATTATGGCTGGAACATGTGTCACTTGATATGCCTATGGTCACATCATTGGTTTCCACTACAATAATGTGGGGAAAGAGTCCTGGGTGGCCAAAAAAGCAGCTATAAAACAAGTAACTTTGTAATTGATGAAGATGGTATTCCAAATAACTGTTGAAATAACTGTTACTCAACTTTTAAATATTTATTAACAAAATTTACACAAGAGAGCACAGTTCAGTTCATATACTTGATTCCACTCAGAATAATGAGAAACCAAAAGTTCCGGTTGCATAAGAGAAAAATTTCTGAAGAGTGGTTAACCACTCTCTGTCACAATTCATTATGAAAACTGCCCAATACTCACTAAGGTGTGATTCCACCAAAGAATTCTTCCAAACAAATTATACTTCAGGGACTTCTCTCTGTAATCTTGCTATGTTTTGTGCAAGTTTGCCTAATAATAAAGGTATTTCCCATTACAATAAATCATAGGATTTTTTCTTTCTGTGAGTTGTCAGGTAACCATTGAGAGGTGACATATGGTACATGACTTTTCTATACATGTATGTTTTCTCATTTCGGGGTCTCTTCATGTGAATTGATTAATGGCAGAAAAAATTTTTCACATTCATTAAATTGAAATTTTACTGTATGAATTCTCTGGTGTTAGTTGATGTTTCTTTTTTTTTAAGATTTTTATTTATTTGACAGAGTTACAGACAGTGAGAGAGACAGAGATAAAGGTCTTCCTTCTGTTGGTTCACTCCTCAAATGGCCACAGTGGCCAGAGATGCACTGATCTGAAGCCAGGAGCCAGGTGCTTCTTCCTAGTCTTCCATGTGGGTGCAGAGGCCCAAGCACTTAGGCTGTCTTCTACTGCTTTCCCAGGCCACAGTAGAGAGCTGGATTGAAGAGGGGCAGCTGGGACTAGAACTCACACCTATATGGGATGCCAGCATAGCAGGTGGAGGTGGAGGATTAATCTATTGCTCCACAGCGCCGGCCTGATGTTTAATTTCTGGCTATGGTTTTTTGAGGTCTATTGCACTTGAAGAATATTGCCTTTTTTGAGTTGCATATTTATGCAAGCCTGAATTCTATGAAAATATACTTCCACATTCATTACACTCCTGAGAAACCACTTGTGTGAATTTTCTGATGTATAATGCCATTTCTGACAAATGGCTTTTTGTCACACTAATAATATTTCTGAACTTCTTCATTTTCTTTAAAAATTTATGTTATTTATTTGAAAGACAGAGTTAGAGAGAGACAGAGAAGCAGAAAGAGGTCTTCCATCTGCTAGTTCACTCCCCAGAGGGATGAAATGGCTGGAGCTGCAGCGATCCAAACCCAGGAGTCAGGAGCTTCTTCTGGGTCTCCCACGTGGGTGCAGGGCCATCTTCTACTGCTTTCCCAGGCCATAGCAGAGAGCTGGATCAGAAGAGGAGCAACTGGGACTAGAACCAGTGCCCACATGGTATGCCAGCATTTCAGGCCAGGGCTTTAACCTACTGTGCCACAGCGCTGGTCCCAACCTTTCTTCCTTATGGGAGTGCCTATTGTATGGGATGTAATTTCCAGCAAAAGGCTCTGTCACATGGTTATGTTTACTTTGGAAAAAGTCCTTCACATTCATTAAGTTCTCTCCCTTGTTTGATCTACATGTTATGAGGTATTCCTTCTGACAAAAGGCTTTCCCACATTTATTACAAGATTTCCACCATGTAATAAATTCTCTGATGTTATATTGTGTGATTTTAGCAGAGTTTTCCAACATTCATTCCATTCATAAGGTTTCTCCCCCATGTGAATTCTGATGTTTTATGAGGTGTTACTTATGGATAAAGGCTTTTCCATATGCATTATATCCGAAGTGTTTTCCCCCATATGAATTAGATGATGTGCAATGAGGGCTGAATTATGGTAAAAGCTTTCCAAGTCATTATGTCCAAGAGGTTTCTCTTCCTGTGCATTTTCTGATGCATTCTGAGATGTGACTTATTGCCAAGGGCTTTTCTACAGTCATTGCATTCATAAAGTCTCTCCCTGGCGTGAATTCTGTGGTGTGATATGAGCTATGATTTATAACATATGATTTATAAAGGCTTTTCCACACTTATTAGATTCACAAGGTTTCTGCCCTGTGTGAGCTGTTTTGATATGAGTATAACTTATACAAAAAGGCTTTTCCACAGTCATTACATTTATGAGGTTTCTCCCCTGTGTGAATTCGCTGGTGTATGATGAGGTTTGACTTTCGTCCAAAGGTTTTTCCACAGTCATTACATTTATGAGGTTTCTCCCCTGTGTGAATTCGCTGGTGCACGATGAGGTGTGTCTTTTGTCCAAAGGCTTTTCCACATTCATTACAATTATGAGGTTTCTCCCCTGTGTGAATTTGCTGATGTATGAGGAGGCCTGACTTGTGTCCAAAGGCTTTTCCACAGTCATAACATTTATGAGGTTTCTCCCCTGTGTGAATTCTCTGGTGTATGATGAGGTGTGACTTTTGTCCAAAGGCTTTTCCACAGTCATTACATTTATGAGGTTTCTCCCCTGTGTGAATTCGCTGGTGTATGATGAGGTCTGGCTTTCGTCGAAAGGCTTTTCCACAGTCATTACATGTATGAGGTTTCTCCCCTGTGTGAATTCGCTGGTGTATGAGGAGGGATGACTTGTGTCCAAAGGCTTTTCCACAGTCATTACATTTATGAGGTTTCTCTCCTGTGTGAATTCGCTGGTGTATGATCAGGTCTGGCTTTCGTACAAAGGCTTTTCCACAGTCATTACATTTATGAGGTTTCTCCCCTGTGTGAATTCGCTGGTGTATGATCAGGTCTGGCTTTCGTCCAAAGGCTTTTCCACAGTCATTACATTTATGAGGTTTCTCCCCTGTGTGAATTTGCTGATGTATGAGCAGGGCTGACATTTGTCCAAAGGCTTTTCCGCAGTCATTACATTTATGAGGTTTCTCCCCTGTGTGAATTTGCTGGTGTCTGATAAGGTCTGAGTTTTGTCCAAAGGCTTTTCCACAGCCATTACATTTATGAGGTTTCTCCCCTGTGTGAATTCGCTGATGTTTCCTGAGGCCTGACTTGTGTCCAAAGGCTTTTCCACAGTCATTACATTTATGAGGTTTCTCCCCTGTGTGAATTTGCTGGTGTATGATCAGGTCTGGCTTTCGTCCAAAGGCTTTTCCACAGTCATTACATTTATGAGGTTTCTCCCCCGAGTGAATTTGCTGATGTATGATGAGGTCTGGCTTTCGTCCAAAGGCTTTTCCACAGTCATTACATTTATGAGGTTTCTCCCCTGTGTGAATTTGCTGATGTATGAGGAGGGCTGACTTGTGTCCAAAGGCATTTCCACAGTCATTACATTTATGAGGTTTCTCCCCTGTGTGAATTCTCTGGTGTATGATGAGGTTTGATTTTTGTCCAAAGGTTTTTCCACAGTCATTACATTTATGAGGTTTCTCCCCTGTGTGAATTCGCTGGTGTATGAGGAGGGATGACTTTTGTCCAAAGGCTTTTCCACAGTCATTACATTTATGAGGTTTCTCCCCTGTGTGAATTCGCTGATGTATGAGGAGGGCTGACTTTTGTCCAAAGGCTTTTCCACAGTCATTACATTTATGAGGTTTCTCCCCTGTGTGAATTCGCTGGTGTATGATGAGGTTTGACTTGTGTCCAAAGGCTTTTCCACAGTCATTACATTTATGAGGTTTCTCCCCTGTGTGAATTCGCTGATGTATGAGGAGGGATGACTTGCGTCCAAAGGCTTTTCCGCATTCATTACATTCATGAGGTTTCTCCCCTGTGTGAATTCGTTGGTGTATGATGAGGTCTGACTTTCGTCCAAAGGTTTTTCCACAGTCATTACATTCATGAGGTTTCTCCCCTGTGTGAATTCTCTGGTGTACTATGAGGTCTGACTTCCACAAAAAGCCTTTTCCACATTCAAGGCATTTATAAAGTTTCTCTCTTGTGTGAATTCGCTGATGGTTTATGAGGTATGACTTCTGTGTAAAGGCTTTTCTACAGTCACTACATTCATGAGGTTTCTCCCCTGTGTGAATTTGCTGATGTTTCCTGAGGACTGAATTTTGTCTAAAGGCTTTTCCACAGTCATTACATTCAGAAGGTGAATTAAAACTGAGTGATTTTCCACAAGGTTTACATGTGTAAAGTTTTTCCCTTGTATTTAGTTTCTGGTTTATTGCAAGATGTGACTGGTGAATGACAGGTTCAACATACATAATGTACTTATAAAATTTCTTTCTTGTGTGAGTTTGTTGATGCATATTGAGGCTAGCATTTTCATGGATAGCTTTTTCTATTTGCGTTACTTTTCCAAAAGTGACAGTTGACTTATTACAGTTTTCTGCCATATGAACCCTCTCAGATTTACAGAACGTCTTTCTTGTGAAGACTTTTGCTTGTCCAGTGGGTCCAAATGGCTGCTTCATGATGTGAATATTGTCAAGCTGGCTAAGAGGCTCACAGAACTGGAGAGATTTTCCAGGTATCTTAGTGTTATCAAATTTCTCTCCAGCCTGTAGTTGATCAGGCCCACTGGGGGGATACACAGTGTGACATTTATTGCATTCCTCAGGCTTCAATCCTGAATAGATTCCCTTTTTAATAATCAGTGTTGGAACATGGCTTGAATTTAAACTAAGTGTTTTTCTTAATTCAATTCTCTTGAGAGCTGATGTCTTGTTATTTTTCATAAAATCCTGATTCAGATTTTTGTCCTGACTTTTCTGGTTGATCCTAATCAGGTCATCCCTTTTCATGACCACTGAAATGAGAAAAAAGCAATCATGTCACTGAGTCACATGTAAATGTTTCTCCTGGCATACTCAATGTAAAGGGAATGAAGTTACTTGTTATCCAAGTGGCATGAGATGTTCACAAAATCAGTATGAGGTAATTATTTGTGATCATTATATGGTTTTTCTCCTTAATACATTAATATACCATGAGGTTTCCCAATGTTCAAACATGATCCTTTTTACTATGGGAATTTGTCAAGGATGGTAGAATGACATTTGTGCTATGATGTGTGGGATACCTGCATCTCAAAACAGTGTCAGTTTGAGCCCTGGCTACTCTGCTTTCAGTACAGCTCTCTGCCTATGTAAACTGGAAGGAAGCAGATAATGGTTCATGTGCCTGGGAACCTGTGAGAAACCAGGGAAGACTAGAGGGATTCTAGAGTTTTGGCTTCAGACTAGTTAGACCTAAGTGTTGCAGGCATCTGGGAAGTGAGCTAATAGAGGACCTCTTTCTCTCTCTCTCTTCTCTCACTATCACTCTGCCTTTCAAAAGATGAAATAACTATAAAATATTTTAAAGAATGGGCAAATATTTAATAAAAATATTCACCCACTACCTAGCAACCATTTTTTTCCCTGTCCTTTTTTCCCAGTTTATTTTTATAAAAATTGTGTGCTTTTTCCTTCTCTGATATCTCAACCATAAACATGAAAAAGTTTTAATGATCATTTACTTGCAGGTGGAGAAGAGTGAAATGTGCCTGTACTTTAAGCAGGACAACATTTAAGGAGTAGGATTTAAATCTATGAGTGTCTCATGCTCAGTCTTCCTAGGTAAACATCATTTGTGGGATTTTTCAAATGAAAAACTACTTTGTCTTTACTCTATGACAGCTTCCCCAAATTCCTAAGGACACCCAACACCTTCAGCTTCTCAGAAGTACAACAGGTACAGAAAATTCCCAATATACCACTTTAGTTAAACACTCCCAATCAGTTTGAAGAATTTGTTTCTGCAAACCGGGAATTGCTCATCTTCTTTGAAAAGTGGTTTCTAACTCATTCTGAAATCATCAGTGCTGGTTACCTCCTCTAAATTCTTTCTAGAAACATTCCTGTGTGATAATTTGAATTTCTGGAGGCATTTGATCAGTTGCCTCCTATTTTCACTGAAAGCTTCATTTCCTATGTTTTTCTTATCTTTTTATTTGCTTATTTTCAATGATACTGAAAATAAGAGAAAAATCATACTTCAAACTCCACCCTAAAAGAAATCTGAGCCACTCAACATAACCCCACGAGGCTACTTGACCTTGGGTCTCAAAATCTCATTACTTTCTTGGTGAGTCCAGGATCACTTATTTTCATGTTTTATGTAAGTTCATCCTTAGTGTAGGATTTCTTTTTTCAAACATTTACTTTATTTATTTGAAGGCTAGAATTATAGAGAGAGAGACAGAGAGAAGTCTTCCATCTGCTGGTTCACTCCCCATATGGGAACAACAACCAATGCTGGGCCAAAATGAAGTTAGGAGCCAGGAGTGTCTTTCTTGTCTCCCACATGGGTACAGGGGGCCAAGGATTTGGGCCAACCTCTGCTCTTTTCTCAGGTGCATTAGCAGAGAGCTGGATTAGAAGAGGACTAGCTGGGACTTGAACTGGCACCAATATGCAATGCTAGTGTTGCAGGCTGGAGCTTTAACACACTGCACCACAGTGTCATTCCTAGCTTCATAATTTCTGATGTCACAGCACAGAGGCTTACTCATGACCATCTTTTTTTTTTTTAAGATTTATTTATTTGAAAGTCAGAGTTACACAGAGAGAGGAGAGGCAAAGAGAGTAAGGTCTTCCAACCAATGGTTCACTCCCCAGTTGGCCACAATGGCCAGAACTGTGCTGATCTGAAGCCAGGAGCCAGGAGCTGCTTCTGGGTCTCCCTCAGGTGCAGGGGACCAAGGACTTGGACCATCCTCTACTGCTTTCCCAGGCCATAGCCAAGAGCTAGATCAGAAGTGGAGCAACTGGGTCTCAAACTGGTGCCCATATGGGATGCTGGTGCTTCAGGCTATGGTGTTAATTCACTGCGCCACAGCACCAGCCACATGACCATCTTATAGCATTTGCTTATTTACTTCCTTGAGAGTAAGAGAAACAGAATGAAAGATAAAGACAGACTGAAACAGAGGTTTGCCAACTATAGGCTCACTCCTCAAATGTCTCCAACAGACTATAATTTTCTTATTTATTTGAGAGGCACAGAGGAAAGAAAAGAAAGAGACTAAGAAAGAGAGAGTTCACATTTATTGATTCAGTCCTGAGCAAGTTCTATGCCTGGGCAAAATCATGAGTGGGAACGCAATCTGAGCAATGAGTTAGAAATAAGTTTCTGGGGGCTGGCATTGTGGCATAGCAGGTAAAGCCACCACCTGCAGTGCCAACATCACTTATGGGCACCAGTTTAAGTCCTAGCTGCTCCACTTCTGATCCAGCATTCTGCTATGGCCTGGGAAAGCAGTAGAAGATGGCCCAAGTCCTTGGACCCCTGTACTCATATGGGAGACCTGGAAGAAGCTCCTGGCTCCTAGCTTCAGATCAGTACAGCTCCAGCCACGACAGCCAATTGGGAAGTGAACCAGTGGATGGAAGACCTCTCTTTCTCTCTCTGCTTCTCCTTCTTCTCTCTCTCTGACTTTCAAATAAATAAGTAAATCATAAAAAAAAAAAAAAAACAGAAACAGGCTGGCATGGCAGCTCAATAGGCTAATCCTCTGCCTGCGGCACTGGCACACCAGGTTCTAGTCCTGGTCGGGGTGCTGGATTTTGTCCCAGTTGCCCCTCTTCCAGGCCAGATCTCTGCTGTGGCCCAGGAGTGCAGTGGAGGATGGCCCAGGTCCTTGGACCCTGCACCCACATGGGAGACCAGGAGAAGCACCTGGCTCCTGGCTTTGGATCAGCATGGTGTGCCAGCCACAGCACACTGGCCATGGTGGCCATTGGAGGGTGAACCAATGGCAAAAGGAAGACCTTTCTCTCTGTCTCTTTCTCTCACTGCCCACTCTGCCTGTCAAAAAAAAAAAAATTAATCTTAAAAAAATAAGTTTCTGTATGTTGCCTAATTAACAAGCACTGAAGGAACTAATATAATAAGTGCATGAAGGAAAAGGTATGAAAGTGTAGAGAAGGACAAGTTAGAATTGGAGGAATGTATCAAACCTAGATAAAAGCCTTAGTAACATCAGAAAATGACTGGATTTTTTTTTTAATCAAAGAACATCTTCACTAAGAACAAAAGTTAGAAAGATATTGGTATCTCTAAATGCCTGTGTCTGATGCACAAAAGCAGCTGTCATCAGGAGTAAGGCTTGAGAAAAATTCATGGAAAGAACACCAGTCAACATCTGCACACTTTCTGCCTTGGCTTCCCTGTCATGTGCAGACTGACCTGAAAGGCTCAGATTCAAGCATTCATCCACCATCCATGGCTCTTCTCCTCGCTCCAACTTGAAGATCAAGTCAGGTTTGGTAATGCAGTGCCCTATTAATGGAAACAAAGTAAGACTTTGTAAAATTACTATCTTGGGTTATTTAAAGGACTACAGCTTGGTTCAGGAGCTATGCAACAAATGTTCCAATTTGAATCTTTTGTTAGATGGTAGATATTCAGATTATTCATGGACTCAATTTCTAATCCTGCCCAATATTAAACATTATAAAGTGTTCCCTTATTTGTCAAATAGCAAGAAAATGTTATCACTGGGCATGTGATGGGTGTCACTCACCCAAGGAGAACAGGCTGCTGTAGGTCTCCAGCATCACATCTCTGTACAGGATTTTCTGAGCATTGTTCATTTTCTGCCATTCTTCCCATGTAAAGTACACAGCCAGGTCTTCAAATGCTGTCATCACCTATAATAATACACTTCCAGTCAACATGTTAACTCTGTCACAAAATAAACACTGACATTTGTATATGGATATGAAGGAAAAAAGGAAGGATATGGTTTCACATTAGACTTGTGGAGTGTTTAGAAAGCCACACGGAGCATTCAACAGAGTCAAACCCATGATCTACTGGCTGTGAGACATGCCCAAGCTGGAGGGAAACAGGAGGTTCAAATCACAAAGGCCACATCTGTCAAGGGGAATTGCACAGCAGGCTAGAAGGGGGGCAATACTGACTCTTGACTGGGCAATGTTAAGGAGAAGTATGTAGAAGCATTGAGAAAAAAAAGGCAAGAAACCATCAGTGAAACTATGATGGGAATGAACAGAAAACAATTTCCAGGAAAACACCATGCATATCATTTCCAATATGTCAAAGGAAAAATATATTAAAAGACAGGTCAGACATTTAGCTTAGTGTTGTTTATGATGCCGTCTCAGAGTGTCTGTGATTTCCAATGCCAGCTCTAGTTTCTAGCTCCCAGATAATGCAAACCTGGGGAAGCAATGGTGATGTCACCAATGAAGGAGGCCTAGATTCCATTCCTCAATCCTGGCTTCAGTCCTGCCCCACCTGTTTGGTATGGTTATCTAGGAAGTGAATTAATGTGTCAAAGCTCTCTATCTCTCAGTCCATCAACTTTTTTCTCTATCAAGCTAATAAATATTTTTAAGTAAGAGAGAAAATACAGGTAAGACAAAGAATACAAATTAGCTTTTGCCCTTGTCTATGATTATTCTAGTGATAAACAATTGAAATAACATTATACCTAATTAAAGTGAAAGCAATGGAAATACTTGCCCAAAACATTCAAATGATAAACATTTGAAATGACATTATACATAATTAAATGAAAGCAATGGAATTATTTGTCCAAAAAGAGAACCTGGGAATGTCTGCAGTACAATCTGCATTTGTGACTCACTGAGAAAAATGCTTAGAGATTTGTTTCAGAACCTGCAATAGTCACCAGAATTGTGATCCAGCAGGCTAAGCCTCCACCATCAATGCTGGCATCCCATGTAAACAGAGGACTTGAGTCCTTGCTGCTCCACTTCCAATCTAGTTCCCTGCTAACCTGATTGAAAGAGCAGTGAAAATGGCCTGAGTATTCAATGTGGGAGACCCATGGAGTCCCAGGCTCCTGGCTTTGGCCTGGCCCAGTCCCAGCCATTGTGGGCATTTGGGGAATGAAACAGTAGATAGAATATATCACCTTTTGTCTCCCTGTCTCTCCCAATCTCTGCAAGTCCACCTTTCAAATAAATAATCTTAAAAAAATAAATGAGCCTCCAGTAGATTCTTTTCTCCACACATTCCTTATCCTATTCCAGAATCCAATTCAACTTCTCAAAGGTATTAAGAACTCCATTACTCTAACAATTTGAAAACAAACTTAACTGATTTGTGTTCCAGCACTAGGTAACTCTTCCTCTTGCAGAATGCTAAGTGTTTACTTCATAGGTAGCACTAAAACACTGTTCAGTACATCATCTATGTGTAGAATGTTTCAGACATGACCCCAAAAAGGTAGCATATTGTTCTTAGTTTCAACTCAATTCATGTAACAAATATATATTTTGCTATAGCAACAGAAAGACAAGAGACCAAACTGCATTATTATAGATGACAGTAATGTTTCATAATCATGCCAAATTCATAATTCATTTCTGTATATTCTGTGATAACAAATTTTATGTTTATTTTTCTATTTTAAAATTTTGTAAAGATTTATTTATTTATTTGAAAGTCAGAGATACACAGAGAGAGGAGAGGCAGAGAAAGAGAGAGAGGTCTTCCATCTGCTGGTTCAGTCCCCAGTTGGCTGCAATGGCTGGAACTGCACCAATCTGAAGCCAGGAACTAGGAGCTTCTTCTGGGTCTCCCACATGGGTGCAGGGGCCCAAGGACCTGGGCCATCTTCCACTGCTTTCCCAGGCCATAGTAGAGAGCTGGAGCAGAAGTAGAGCAGCCAGGTCTCAAACTGGTGCCTATATGGGAAGTCGATGCTTTAGACCAGGGCATTAACCCACTGAGCCACAGTGCCAGCCCCATATTTTCCATTTTAATTAACTAGTATACTGGGACTGGCACTGTGGCTAGCAGGTAAAGCTACTGCCTTCAGTGCTGGCATCCCATATTGGTGCCAGTTCAAGTCCCAGTGGCTTCACTTCCAATCCAGCTCTATGCTATGGCCTGGGGATTCAGTAGGAGATGGCCTAAGTCCTTGGGCCCCTGAACCTATGTGGGAGACCCAGAAGAAGCTCTTCACTTCTAGCTTTGGACCAGTGCAACTTCGGCCATTGTGGCAAACTGGGGAGTGCACCAGCAGATGCAAGACTCTCTCTCTCTCCCCCTCTGCCTCTCTGTAACTCTGACTTTCAAATAAATAAAAAAAATCTAAAAAAATAAATAAATAAACTAGCATTAAACACCAAAAATGAGTACTGACAAGCTGGGGAATAATTAAAAAAAAAAAAACACTTACAGGTGATATATTAATTTTCTTTCCTCTTAGAAACATGTGGAGGACCCAGAATCATACCTGGGAGAGAGGTGAATGGCAGGAGTTCAAAGAAAACTCGGGAGGCCAACGCTGTGGCATAATGGGTAAAGCTGCTGCCTTCAGTGCCAGCATTCCATATGGGGTCTGGTTCAAGTCCTGCCTGCTCAACATACAATCTAGCTTTGTGCTATGTCCTGAGAAAGCAGTGGAACATGGTCCAAGTCCCTGGGCCACTGCACCTGCATGGGAGACCCAGAAGCTCTTGGGTCTTGGCTTTGGATCAGCTGAGCTCTGGCCTTTGCAGTAATTTGGAGGGTGAGCCAGCAGATAGAAGACTTTCTCTCTCTGCAACTCTTTCAATAAATAAATGAAATCTTAAAAAAAAAACCCTCTGGTTTCCTTCTGCACTGAACAGTGGGGAAAAAAAGGATATAATAGAATGAATAAAGAATAATAAATACATTAACCAAGAAAACATCAGCTTCACTGTGGAGGAATAAACCTCTAAAAATAGAAATACATAGGAAAATGCACCCACCTATATTAAGTGGCAGAGATTAAACAGAAGTTATCATTGGTTTAACGAAAGCATTATCTACAAATTTTGTAAAATAATAATGTAAAAGGAAAAAGAAAAGTTGAGTGTTCAAATGGATAAGGTTATCAGAGATAAACATTATGTTATTAAAGTTTATACTAAAGAAAGTTAACAAATACACATAATGTATATTTAATGCAGTGCACTTTACCAGTAATGATTCCAAGTAGCACCTTTCCCTGTATTCATCCCTTCACAAAACCCTGGATTGGGGCTGGCACTGTGGCCTAGCGGGTAAAACTGCCACCTGTAGACTGGCATCCCATATAGGCACTGGTTTGATTCCCAGCTGCCCCACTTCTGATCCAGCTTTCTGCTATGGCCTGGGAAAGCAGTAGAAGATGGCCCAAGTCCTTGGGCCCCTGTACCCATGTGGAAGACCCAGAAGAATCTCCTGGACCCTGGCTTTGGATTGGCACAACTCTGGCCATTGCAGCCAACTGGGGAGTGAACCAGCAGATGGAAGAGCTCTCTATCTCTCTCTGCCTCTCCCTCTCTCTGTGTGTAACTCTTTCAAATGAATAAATAAATCTTTTTGAAAAAGACCCTGAATTTCACCATTTCAATTGATTTACCCCATGAGATACCAGTAAATGTGATAGAAATAGACAATTTGTTAAAATATTTATTTATATGAAAGAGTTACACAAAGAGAGAAGGAGAGGCAGAGAAAAGAGAGAGAGAGAGAAGGAGGAATAAAGAGAGGTCTTCAAACTGCAGGTTCACTCCCCAGATGGCTGCAATGGCTGGAGCTGTGTAGATCCAAAGATATGAACCAGGAGCTTCTTTCAGGTCTCCCACAAGGGAGCAGAGGCCAAAGGACTTGGGCCAACTTCTACTGTTTTCCCAGGCTGTAGCAAAGAGCTGGATCAGAAGTGGAGCAGCCAAGTCATCAACTGACACCCATATGAGATGCTGGCACTGCAGGCAGTGTCTTTACTTGCTATGTCACAGAACCAGCCCCAGAAATAGACAATTTGTAAAGTATTTGCCTTCTCAGATTTTCTTGTTCTGACAGTTATCTTCTGAAAAACCCTGGGGCCTGCCTGTTGAAGAGATAGTATGTAGGCTGGCACCGTGGCTCACTAGGTTAATCCTCTGCCCGTGGCACTGGTATTCCGGGTGACAGTCTCAGTTGGGGTTGCTGGTTCTGACCCAGTTGCTCCTATTCCACTCCAGTTCTCGGCTATGGTCTGGGAAGGCAGTGGAGGATGGCCCAAGTGCTTGGGCCCTGCACCCACATGGGAGACCAGGAGGAAGTGCCTGTCTCCTAGCTTTGGATCAGCATAGCATACTGGCCATAGCAGCCATTTGGGGGGTGAACCAATGGAAGGAAGGCATTTCTCTCTGTCTCTCTCTCTCTCACTAACTCTGCCTGTCAAAAAAAGAAAAAAAGAGATAATATGTAGCCAAGATTCACCACAAACCCCAGACACTTAAGTGAAGCCTCAATCAGTTCCCCAGATGACTGAACTCTGATTTCTGCTCCTGGACTGATCATAGGAACTGCCTAGCTGAGTACAGCCCAAAACACAGAGTCAGAACTGCAAATCAAATGGCTATTTGTTAAGCCATTGTGTTTTCTGATTTGTCCTACATCAAATGCTGATATATATCAGTAAGTATGGCAAAAAGTTGAATTACATGCAAACTACAATGCATACAACTTCAAAATTTCATTTGGAAGTTCCCATAAAACAGGGCCAGCATTGTCACATAGCAAGTAAACCTGCCGTCTGCAATACAAGCACCCCATATGAGCACTGGTTCATGTTCTGGCTCTTCTGCTTTTGATCTAGCTTCCTGCTGATGGCCTGAGAAAAGCAATGGAAGATGATCCAAATACTTGGGCAAATGCTACCAATGTGGGAGATCCAGGTGAAGATCTTGGTTCCTGACCTCATTCTTTCCTGGCCCTGCTCAATGCAGCCATCTGTGATGTGAAAAAGCAGAAGGGAGATCTCTCTGGGTCTCTCCTCTATATACAATACTTTCAAATAATTTTTTTAAAAAACTTAGAAAAAAAGCTCCTATAAACACAATCTTTGCCTATCAATTAGACCTTAGAGGTTTCACCTCACCCTGGTTAGAATGGCTCACATACAGAAATCTACCAACAACAGATGCTGGAGAGGATGTGGGGAAAAAGGGACACTAACCCACTGTTGGTGGGAATGCAAACTGGTCAAGCCACTATGGAAGTCAGTCTGGAGATTCCTCAGAATCCTGAATATAACCCTACCATTCAACCCAGCCATCCCACTCCTTGGAATTTACTCAAAGGAAATTAAATTGGCAAATAATAAAGATGTCTGCACCATAATGTTTATTGCAGCTCAATTCACAATAGCTAAGACCTGGAATCAACCCAAATGTCCATCAACAGTAGACTGGATAAAGAAATTATGGGACATGTACTCTATAGAATACTACATAGCAGTCAAAAACAATGAAATCTGGTCATTTGCAACAAAATGGAGGAATCTGGAAAACATCATGCTGAGTGAATTAAGCAAGTCCCAAAGGGACAAATATCATATGTTCTCCCTGATCTGTGACAACTAACCAAGCACCTAAAAGGAAGCCTGTTGAAGTGAAACAGACACTTTGAGAAACAGTGACTTGATCACCCCTTTTCCTAACTATTGATGAACAACTTAATACTTTATCCCTTTTAGTACTTTTTTGTTCTACTTAATACTTTGGTTGAACTCTTTAATTAACACACAATTATTCTTAGGTGTTTAACTTTAACTGAAAAGTGGTCCTTGTTAAATATAAGAGTGCGAATAAGAGAGGGAGGAGATGTACAATCTGGGACATGCACAATCAGACTTGCCCCAAATGGTAGAGTTAAAAACGTGCCAGGGGATTCCAATTCAATCCCATCAAGGTGGCATGTACCAATGCCATGTCACTAGTCAAAGTGATCAATTTCAGTTCACAATTGATCATAATGATAGGATTAAGAGTCAAAGGGATCACATAAGCAAGACTAGTATCTGCTAATATTAACTGATAGAATTAAAAAGGAGAGAACTATCCAACATGGGAAGTGGGATACACAGCAGACTCATAAAATGGCAGATGTCCTAAACAGCACTCTAGCCTCAGAATCAGCCCTTAAGGCATTTGGATCTGGCTGAAGAGCCCATGAGAGTATTTTAGGCATGAAAAGCCAAGACACACTGGAAAAAAAATTAAAAAAATAAGGAGGTGGAAGGGACGGTAGCCAACCCGGGAAGAACCAGCAGCAAACCCGGGGAGGGCCGAGCAGACAAAAGAACAGCACAGAGTCCTGTGTCGTTCCTCCATGAAGAGGGGGAGCGACATAATGGTGCCATGACTCAGATAGGAAACTTAGGAGGGAAGAAACGGGAAGAAGTGGAAAATACCAGAGAGAGAGACTAGCAAAGAGCCTAGGGAAAAGCCGGACAGAAAAGGTGCCAGAAGAAGCTATCGAAAGCCTAGGCATAGACTCGGATATGGACTGTGGGAAAGAAGTTAGGATTTAAAGTGAAAGCAAGAAGAAACTTAGACTCAGATACGGACTGCAGGTTGAAAGTGAAAGTGAAACCTATAAGAAACTTAGACTTGGATACGGACTGTGGGGAGAGGCCAGGAGAAATGAGGGAGGAATATTGTTGGAAGAAAACTTAGGGAAACATACCGGGCAGAGAAAAATGTTAGGGTGGATGAAGCCACGAGTGCAGGCCGAGGCGGAGACGTAAGCCACCTTGGAATTCTTTAAGTCAGCCCGGGGAGCAAAAGGCGAAAATCTGGAACCAGAGGGAGAGACGTGGGCCGCCAGGTTGGAATTCGCCAGGTTAGTCCGGGGAACTTGGACTGAATACCGGTGGTGGCGGAAACGTAAGCTACGCTGTGTGACTCGCGGAAGCCGCCGCGTGCAGAGAGAGCACGGGGCGTGAATAGATAGGGAACGTGGGACTGGCGCGGAGGCCGTGGTGCAGGCGCGAAGGGGGCGCGGAGACCGCGGAGCGTGCGCACAGAGCTGGGAACCCGCCGCAGGGCGGGCGCCGGGAAGCCGTGCAGATGAGAGAAGTGCGGGCTGAAGCGGCACAGAGCTGAGAAGCCGCCGCGGGGCGAGGTGCGGAGAAGCAGCCTCGGGGCGGGCGCCAGGATGCCGCAGGGATAAGAGAAACAGAAGTTTAGAAGTAAAATGAGAGAAATAAGAATGCTGGTAGATAGAAGTAAAATAGGAGAAATAGGAATGCCTGGAGATAGAGAAACAGAAAAATAAGGCCTCCCCACAACATGGCAATGAGAGAGCTTGGATTCGGTCTGCCTGATTAGGGAGGTGGTGAGCACCTGCGGGCAGCTAGCAGCTTATGCGCTGCAGGTCACCGAAGACAGGCACGAATTAACATCAATAAGTCTCCCCACAATACCGCAATGAGAAGGCTTGGATTCGGTCTGCCTGATTAGTAAGGCAGTAAGCACCAGCAGGCGGCTCGACCAGAGTATGAGCTGCAGGTCACCGAAGATAGGCACGAACCAACACTAATAAGTCTCCCCACAAGACGGCAATGAGAAGGGCTTGGATTCGGTTTGCCTGATAGGGCTTGTAAGCACCTGCATGCAGTTCTAGCAGAGCAGAGCATGTGCTGCAGGGCACCGAACTCAGGCACGCATCAGCGCCTAAAAACCTCCTCACAACATGGCGAAGAGAGGACCCGGATTCGGTTTGCCTGATTGATAGGACTTGTAAGCGCCTGTGGGCAACTCCAGCAAGCAGAGCAGAGTGTGTGCCGCGGGGCACCGAAGACAGGCACGTATCAATGCCAAAAATAAAAAGAAAGGGGGATCTGTGGGGAGCAACTCGGACTAGACTAAGTTACTGGAATTAAGACTTATTCTATGCATCTGCTCTCCCACAATATGGCGCTGAGAAGGGAGAAACAGCTTCTACACAGCTGCCTCCAGTTCAACCAATAAACAGCAGGACCTGCTCCTGATTGGAGGAGAGCAGCGTACTCAGCGTGTGGGTAGCAGAGTTGGGATTGGTGGAAGAGAACTATAAAGGAGGAGAGAGACAACATGCACCAGGAACATCTAAGGGGAACATCTGAGGGAACATCTGTGCAGCCCCCGAGAGAGCCGGCCGGCGGTGTGCCACTCCCCCACGGAAGTGGGGAAAAGTGGCAGGGGGAACCGCCCTTCACGGAGGTGGAAGGGACAGTAGCCAACCCGGGAAGAACCAGCAGCAAACCCGGGGAGGGCCAAGCAGACAAAAGAACAGTGCAGGGTCCTGTGTCGTTCCTCCATGAAGAGGGGGAGCGACAGATTTCTGTACTTAATATGTTGTTCAATGTGAATTAATGCTATAACTAGTACTCAAACAGTACTTTACACTTTGTGTTTCTGTGTGGGTGCAAACTGTTGAAATCTTTACTTAATATATGCTAAATTGATCTTCTGTATATAGAGATAATTGAAAATGAATCTTGATGTGAATGGAATGGGAGAAGGAGCTGGAGATGGGAGGGTTGCAGGTGGGAGGGAAGTTATGGGGGAAGGGGGGAAGCCATTGTAATCCAAAAGCTGTACTTTGGAAATTTATATTTATTAAATAAAAGTTAAAGAGAAAAAGAATACAGTGGGCAGAAGCATAGCCCAGGTACCAAGTATATAACAGACTAGATTTTAAAATGATGCTTGATCTTACCTATTAAAATAATTTGTGGACCATCAATGGATTATATTTTACAGTAAAATAGTAATAATTTGGTGCATTAATATGGCTGGAAAACAGGGTGAATGCCTTGTAAAGTCTTTGTGAATATTTAAAACTGCACTATCTAGAAATTCTTGACCCAAAACATCCTGAATTCATCTATCCATCACATCCAGTTATCTGTATATTTTTAACAAAGCTATATTTAAAAAAAACTGCACTTAAGTAGTGGTTTCTGACACAAATTAGGCAAGAGACAAATATTAGGGTATCATGGAGCTCCTGCTTTTACTCCTCTTCTAGTCTAAATGAGAATTGCCATGAAATTATAGACAAACTCTTGAGGATTTGAGTGATGGTCTCATGGGCCATTGACTGTTGGCACACAGCTACTGGTCATTTTTTCTATGTATAGTGTATGAATTGTGCCATGCAAATGCCTATATCAGCACTTATCTGGTAATTGCCTTTCAGTGACTTCATTCTGCAAATTGAAGGACCTCAGTCTTGAACTTCAATCTTACATAACCTCACCTCAGACCCAGAATAAAATTATTACTTAGTTCCCAGCATCATACAATGTAAACAGAAAATGAAGTTGTAGGCATCAAACAAGAATAGTATCATGAAATAGTGAATTCCCTTGTCCTTTCTAAAAATTATTGCTCCCCACAGTGGTAGCCACACACTTCTGACAGCAGGAGTTGCTGATTTTAGAATTATGCTGGAAAATTCTGTGGGGATTCCTGAGAAGAAAGTGGGAAGGCAGCACGCAACACTCAATTGTTGTTGATTGATCTTTTACAATTCATTTTCTCTCACTGATTTTAAATATACCTTTGTTTTTATTTGACAGGTAGAGTTATAAACAGTAAAAGAGAGACAGAAAGGTCTTCCTTGTGCTGGTTCACTCCCCAAATGGCTGCTGTCACCAGCGCTGCATTGATCCAAAGCCAGGAGCCAGGTGCATCTTCCTGGTCTCTCATGGGGGTGCAGGGGCCCAAGCACTTGGGCCATCCTCCACTGCCTTCCCTGGCCACAGCACAGAGCTGGACTGGAAGAGGAGTAACCAGGACTAGAACCTGGTGCCCATATGGGATGCCAGTGCCACAGGTGGAGGATTAACCAAGTGAGCCATGGCACCAAACCCTAAATACACCTTCTGACCAGCATTTATAATTTCAAGCACTTAGAAATAGGAGCTCTAACACTTGATTTTACTGAATCAATAATGAAAAATATAGTCCCTAAGATATAAAGAGAGTGAGGATCACAGACTGAAAACTAATTCAGGATCCTACAAGGACTAAATTTGAGGTCAAGCTTGAGCTACTTATCACTAATAGAAGCAACCAGTGTTATCTGATCAAGTTTTACTAGATGGGAATGGTATCCCATATTTGTGCCAGTTTGTGTCCCAGTCTCTCCACCCCGATCCAGCTCCCTGCTATTGAACCTGGGAAAATAGCAGCAAAAGATGGCCCAAGTGTGTGGGCCTCTGCCCACACCACAGTGCCAGCCCTAATAAGTCTTAAAAACCTAAAGAAATAAAATGTATAATATATCAATTATAGTTGTATATAGGTATAAATTTCTGAAAAGTACATAATTTCATCCTTTTAGTCATCTAAAACTTATTTGTAAATTATATAATTAAAAAAAGATAAAAAGACATTGATTCTTATGTCTCTTCAGCATAAGACATCAACTTTTCCAGGTTCTAGATGCACTTATTCACAGAGTTTCATAGAAGAAATCAGTAATGTGGCTCAAATAACAGTCTTACCCCGGGAATCCCCCTAAATTTAAACAGGGTGCTCAATTTCATTTTAGAAAAGTTCCAAAATATGTATCAGAAGAAAAAAATTATTTATTTGGTACATCTCATTTTAACTATAGTATTACCTAAATTTCCAATAGTCAGATGTACTCAAAAATTCCCACAGGTGGGAGAGATGGCCTAACACAGCAAGTAATTATTAAAATACAAATGTTAAGCTACAACTTAACTAGGGAAAATAACACTCCACAGGTCCCAAACTAAAATAATTAAGATGACATAATAAAAGGAAACTCAATGTCTTCATGCATTAAAATGTATTACATTAAACTTAATAAACAAAAAGGTGATTATTCCAGCTGTTTCCCACTTGGCAGCCCAATTTTACCTGTTGAATCTGGAAAAAAGTAAATGGCATCTCATGGTAGATTACTAAAATCTTAATGCTATATGCCATCGATTATGTCCACCATACTTTATATCTAATATTAACATATCTCATGCCTCTTAGTAGATAAATGACCTGTCTTAACTATTACAAAAGTGGCAAATGTGTTTTTGCTCAAAGCTTTTCCAACAGCTCCTCAGTCTAGTTTGCCTTCATTTTGGAAAGACACTTTTTCTAGGGTATACATGAGCATCTCATTGACTTGGCCATCAAACATAATTTTTGCAAAGAATTTAACTGTACCCAGCTTTTATCAGGAGCACAAGAATATATCACATTGATGACTTCCTCCCTTCATGAGACTATTTGCCACACTTGTGAAGAACATACAATGCTAATACCTTTTAGTCCTTCCTGGGTTTTGGTGCAATGCATGCCTCATTTAAAAAATTAATTGTCATGGATGCTACAAATCAGTCCAGCTTATATGGTCCCCCTTCCAATGAAAAGTCAAATTGAATTCTGTAGGCACTATCCTTAGTGCTCTCAGTGACTTCTTCACTCGTGGAGATCATATGCCTTCTAAATCCTCTGGATCATTTGTGATATCCACTACTTCTCAAGGGCTGTGATGCAAGGAATAACCTCTCTTGGAACCTTGCTATGTGCCAGTAAAATTAAATTAGATTTCTATTAATTGTGCTAGACTAGAAAAACAGTCACCTACACACCTTGAGCCTGTGATTCTCCAAACCTTGTTATCTAGTAGGACTTTGGCCATGGATATAGAACAGTAAAACATGAGAATGGCTACTAAGGCCTACTTAATAGATGATATACCCAAACTTGGCATACTCCATTTGGCAAAAGGGATGGCTTCCAATGTCTGCTGTCTATGTCCAGATGCCAGGGTACAGCAGGAGGTCACTATTCTAACAATAATAAAGAAAAACCATTTAAGTTCAGCTGGACACCATTCTGCTGACTGTTGATTTCATTACTATTAATCTGGATGCCTTCACTGGTGACAATCCAGAGACCCAAAGTAGTCACAGCATTATCTGCTAACAAAAGCTTAAACCAAGAGTTATGGATTAATATCTGTTATAACACGATTCCTCAGAACCCATCTAGTCCAAACCTTGAGAATTGGAAGCTGTTATGCTTGGCCCACCCATATATAGGACGTAAATTGTGCCAGATGGGCTCTATATCCTTGTACTGCAAGGAAGATGTCATAGATATTGATGCTCCAAACTTACCCAGCTCCCTGCTAATGTGTCTGGGAAAGCAGCAAAGGCTTGCCCAAATGCTTGGGCCCCTGAACCCATGTGATATCTGGAAAAAGCTCCTATCTTACAAGATCAGCCTGGTCTAGCCCCAGTCATTGCAGCCATTTTGGAGGAGAACAAACCAGAAGGAAGATCAGTCTCTCCCTTTCTCACTCTAACACTGCCTTTCAAATATATAAATAAATCTTTTAAAATGTAATCATTTCAATAGATTCCTCAGTGCTCAATCATGATGACTTTTATTATCTTAAGGACATTTTCATTTCTTTTTTAAAGATTTGTTTATTTGAAAGGCAGAGAGGAGGACGGTGTGGCTGCAGTATGCAAAGCTGCCATCTGTTATACTGGCATCCTATATAGGCACCAGTTCAAGTCACACTTGTTCCACTTCTGATTTAGCTTCATGCTAATGGCCTGATAGAGTGGAAGATGGCCCAAGTACTTGGGCTCCTGCCACCCCCATGGGTGACCTCAAAAGACGCTCCTGGTTTCAACCTGGCCCTTTACCGGCCATTGGAGAAACCAGGGGTGTGAAACAGATGATGGAAGATCTCTCTATGTCTCTCTCTCTCTCTCTGTAACTGTGACTTTCAAATAAAGAAGTAAATAACTTTTAAAATGATTTTAGAAAGGGCAGAGAAACACACAGAAAGTGGGTGAAGAGAGAGAGGAAGAGAGGTCTTCATATGTTGGTTCACTCTCTAAATGTCTGCAACAGCTATGGCTGGACCAGGCTCTCAGGTCCCCTAATAAGTAGTAGATCTTGCACTTAGGTGAAAGGAACTGAAGAATTTGAGCCACTACCCCATGCTTCTCAGAGATATTAAGCAGGAAACTAGTTTGGAAGTGAAACACTGAAAACTTAGATTAGCACTGCAATATAGAATGTGGGCATCACATGCAATGACCAACAAATTAGAAAACCTGGAAGAAATCAAGACACATGCTAGGTAAAAAAATTGAGCCATGAAGACATA